AAAAGTTGTGTTGATCATCGAGGGCTATCTTTTGATCCGAAAATTTTGGGATTTGGAGCATCTTCAATTTCTTCATCTTCTTCCCTTGGGCTCCGAATTTGAGGTAGGGATTCTTACTCACTCTTATGGGTTTTAACCTAGATTTTGAGCTTGTTGTTTAAATGGTTGATTTTGGGACTTAGGGTTTCAAAATGTGTTAAAGAGGGTTTTGTGGTTTTGGGCTCATAATATGTATTTTGGGTTTCAAAATTATGATATAGTCGTTGGTTGGTGATATTTGAACCTTTGAGTTGATATTGAGAGTTGGGGTTAAAAGCCCCAATTTGTTGTACTGTTATGCTAATGGATGTACCATATATGACTGTTTACTGTACTGAGCAACTGAAATACTGATTGAAATGAACTGTTTTCATTACTGTAAGGACATTCATTCTAAACCCCTTTACGCTTTATGTTATTCACTGGGCTTTAGCTCACTGCTCATATATATATGTAGGTGTTCAGGCACCAGACCGCAGCTAGGAGCGTCAGGGTTACTCCAGTTTTGTCAAGCCAGCCTTTGTGCCTCACTGCGAGGTTCCGAGCCTATCGTGCTAAGGCTTAGGGGTGTTTTAGAAGTCCCCCTTCTGTACTGTCTTACTGTTTTGTAATAACTGAATGAATTGTATAGACTGACTGTTTACTGTACTGTTCTGCAAGGGATGGAGTCCCTAGCCTGAATGATTGTATATGTATTGTGCATACTGTTCTGTACTGGTTATGTATAAATGTATGAAAAAAATTTTTGGCATACAGACTGTCACAGCTCAGTGGACATTATTTAATTACTGTATTGGCTTCCGCCAGGCCCTGTACTCTGTTTTACTGTACTACTGTTAGGTAGGCCTTCGGTAATCTCGGATTACTGGCCGGTTACGGTGCTAAACCCATAGGGCCGGGTTTGGGTCGTGACAATTACATTCTCACCTTCTAACCCAAAACAAAGACAAAAGAATAAATATATATATTTAAATGAAAACAGCTTTAGTAAAACCAAAATAATTTTCTGAATAACATCTTCTAACCCAAAACAAAGACAAAAGAAAAAAAACAAAATTTTATACGAAAATGGCTTTAGTAAAGCCAAAAAAAAATTTATTAATTACATTATCGCCTTCTAACCCAAAACAAAGACAAAACAATAAACAAAAAAAATTTACATGAAAACGGTTTTAGTAAAGACAAAAAAAAATTTCTGAATTACACCTTCTAAACCAAAACAAAGACCAAAGAAAAAAAAAAATTTAACATGAGAACGGCTTTAGTAAAGCTAAAAAAAATTTATGAATTACATTATCACCAAAACAATGACAACAGGAAAAAAAAAATTTTAAAAAAAATAAAATAAAATTTAAATGAACAGTGAAAGCATGGTTTCAATCCACGCTTACTGTAGTGAACAGTGAAAGCATGAATTTTGTAAATGAACATGATTGGCTTAATAATATCTAAATGAACATGATTTTAAAATTATATATATGAAAAATATTATGTAGAATTAATATATGAAAAGAGACTTTTCCCATAAAAATTTAAATGATATATAATTTGGCTTAATTCCCAAATGCTTGGTAATTAGTTAAAAATATTATGTAAAATTAATATATAAAGAAGAGGCTTTTCGCATATTATGTAACACAAATTAATATATGAAAAGAAGAGGTTTTTCCCGTATTATGTAAAATTTCTGAATTACACCTTCTAAACCAAAACAAAGACAAAAGAAAAAAAAAAATTTAACATGAGAATGCTTTAGTAAAGCCAAAAAAAATTTATGAATTACATTATCACCAAAACAATGAAAACAGGAAAAAAAAATAAAATATTAAAAAATAAAATAAAATAAAATAAAATAAATGAACAGTGAAAGCGTGGTTTCAATCCACGCTTACTGTAGTGAACAGTGAAAGCGTGGTTACAATCTAGGCTTCTTTAGCTGAACAGTGAAAGCGTGATTCACAATCACGTTTTCTTCAAAAAAAAAAATTATATGCACAGTGAAAGCGCGGTTTGGAACCATGCTTTCTTCAGAAAACGAATTAAACGAGATGCACAGTGAAAGCGTGATTTGGAACCACGCTTTCTTCAGAAAAAAAATTTATGTTAAAAACGTGATTTGCAACCACGTTTTCTTAATTAAAAGCGTGGTTTGCAATAGCGCTTTCACTATTCATCACATTTTGGGCTCCAAACAGTGAAAGCGCGATTTGTAATAGCGCTTTAGCCTAGTTTGGGAATTCCGTCCAAACTAGGCCTAGTTTGGGAATTAAGATACAAAATAGGCTTAATATGGGAAAAGCCCCTATTTTCTCCCCACCTTCTCCATCTTGCTCCTCATCCGCTCTACCAAGATCAGCAACAAAGAGCACAAATCTCACACCCGGTAGTGGTAGTAGATCTAGATCTGGAAGCAACAGATCTAGATATTGCAGTTGCATAGCATCGACGACAAATCTGGATTTTCAGTTCAGCAACAAAGGCAACGTTGAAGACGATGACCTTGTTGACAACGGAGTAGAGGATAACGGCTTAAAGTAGAGGATGGTGAGATTTGAGGAGAGAAATAAAGAGAAAAGAGAGAGTGAGTGAGAGAGAGAGAGAACAAAAAAAAAACAAAAAAGATCTAAAGAAGATGAGAGAGATGAGGCGATGGTGGAAGATCGGTTGCGACGGAGGTGGTGGTCCGTCAGTGGTGTAGTCAATTGGCTTTTTTTTATTAGTTGTTAATAGATCTTAGAGTAAAATTTGACTCTGGTTCATTCATTTAGTATGTATTTTATTTTTTGTAACAGTGAAATTTTACTCTGGTTAAAAACATGTTGATTTGATTAACAATATAAAATTTTACTTTAAATCATAATAAACTTTACTCTGATTCAAGAGTAAAATTTTACTCTGATTGAGAGTAAAATTTTATATCGTTAAGCAAATCAACATGTTTTTTATTCAAAGTAAAATTTTACTCTGAAAGTACAATTTTACTATCATTGTATAAGAAAAGCCTCTACTTTCTTCCCACCTTCTCCATCTTTCTCCTCATCTGCTCTACCAAGATCAGCAACAAAGAGCACAAATCTCACACCCGGTAGTGGTAGTAGATCTAGATCTGGAAGCAACAGATCTAGATCTTGCAGTTGCATAGCATCGACGACAAATCTGGATTTTCAGTTCAGCAACAAAGGCAACGTTGAAGACGATGACCTTGTTGACAACGGAGTAGAGGATAACGGCTTAAAGTGGAGGATGGTGAGATTTGAGGAGAGAAATAAAGAGAAAAGAGAGAGTGAGTGAGAGAGAGAGAGAACAAAAAAAAAACAAAAAAGATCTAAAGAAGATGAGAGAGATGAGGCGATGGTGGAAGATCGGTTGCGACGGAGGTGGTGGTCCGTCAGTGGTGTAGTCAATTGGCTTTTTTTTATTAGTTGTTAATAGATCTTAGAGTAAAATTTGACTCTGGTTCATTCATTTAGTATGTATTTTATTTTTTGTAACAGTGAAATTTTACTCTGGTTAAAAACATGTTGATTTGATTAACAATATAAAATTTTACTTTAAATCATAATAAACTTTACTCTGATCTAAAATTTTACTTTGGTTAAAAACTTGTTAATTTGCTTAACGATATAAAATTTTACTTTAAATCATAGTGGACTTTGAATCAGAGTAAAGTTTACTATGATTCAAAGTAAAAATTTACTCTGAAATTTTACTCTGATTAAAAACATGTTGATTTGCTTAACGATATAAAATTTTATTTTGAATCATAATAAACTTTACTCTGATACAGAATAATTACTCTGAATCAGAGTAAAGTTTGCTATGATTCAAAGTAAAATTTTATTATGAAATACATTGTGAGGATGGCTTAATAGGAGAGCTGATAGATATGAGGGTAATATAGTAAAAGAAATAAGTTCTAAAATATTAGGGAGTTTTGAAAATACCTATATAATTATTGTCCTTTTAAAAGACAAATTAGACAGTAAGGGACCTATCACCAAATCCCCCAAATAAGAATAAGTTTGACAACAAAGGAAAGGGAGATATGTAATAGGGTAATGCTAATTATGGGGAAAAAAAAGGATTATTTTCATTTTTTTCATCGACTCTATTAATAAACTAATTCTGATGAGGGAAAATTGTAATTTCTAAAATCACGAGTAAACTATATTTCTAGTTAAGGAGCATATTTATAATTTTTACCCCCCCCCCCCTCAAAAAAGAAAAAGGAAAAAAGAAAAAAAAACAAATATTTTAATTTATCCCTTTATAGTACAAGTAATGTGCACATAATACCCATGTCATTTGAAAATAAACAATTAACTCCTTATAATTTATGAGTATTTGTAAACAAATTTAAATAATCTCATTTTCTAAACTAAACACTTCACTTTACCCCTATATATGCACATAATCCCCTACTATTTGAAAATGTAGGCATGTGTAATACATTGTTAATCTTGACGAAGACTATATTTTATTCAACAAACCACAAGAAGTTAAGTGACTATTTTCAAAAGAAAAAAGAATTATCTGCAAATAACCTATCCCTCACTTAAGCCCTATGTGAAAGAGCTAAAATGTTTCATAGAGCCAAATCTACAACAAGACCCATCAACCCATCATCCATCACACCATCTCCTTTAGCCTCCTCTGTGTCATTGACTGCAGACAAGTTATTGTGCATTACTGGGGAGAGAAAAGTGCTACAAGCAATGGATTTCCTCTTAAACAGGTGATAAAATCATCCTTGTTGATCCTCCCATCGCTATCGGTATCAAATGATTTGAATAGTTCATGGATCTACAAATATAAAGTAAAACAAAGCTTTAGTTCGAAAGAATTACAAGAAAAATATATTGTTGTGGTTACTTTTCTAAGGTTATCGTATGGATTAGATTGACATGTCCATTGAACCCATGAGGATGTCGATTACTCACCTCAAACTCGTCCATGTTTGGAATAGCCGCCTTAATGGAATCTCCCAACTGAGCTATCCATTTACCAACCACGAGTACGCAACTTAAACCTTATCCAAAAGTATAATAAATAAAAGGGAATACCAAGGAAAAGAGTATGAGACATGCTCGGAAATGTAATGGTTTCCACCAGTGTGACACTCAATGAAGGCTAATTCACATGCTCGTCTGAAAATGGTTGCTATAGGGCATGAGCTGACCCATACAGGAACTGCAAGCAATAGATTTCCCATCTATGAGAAGCTCCGTATTGGCTTTGTGCAGACAAAGTTGGGACCGATTGGGGATCGCATGCATAACTAAGAGAGAGATTATCACCTGCTTGAATGTTATTTTACCCTTTTTCTCCACATCAAGGACTCCAAATATCTACAACATAGAATAATCACCATGAGATAGGTGATTAAATATGCCAGTGTGACACTCAATGAAGGCTAATTCACAGGCTCGTTTGAAAATGGTTGCTATAGGGCATGAGCTGACCCATACAGGAACTGCAAGCAATAGATTTCCCATCTATGAGAAGCTCTGTATTGGCTTTGTGCAGACAAAGTTGGGACCGATTGGGGATCGCATGCATAACTAAGAGAGAGATTATCACCTGCTTGAATGTTATTTTACCCTTTTTCTCCACATCAAGGACTCCAAATATCTACAACATAGAATAATCACCATGAGATAGGTGATTAAATATGAAAACTTTCTCAAATCAAGTAGCTGTAAATTGTAATGTCGTTTCATATTTCATGGACAGCAAGTGAGCAAAATTTATTCACGTATCTAATTTATTTCCACAGCAAAGGCCTCATATCCATCCATTCAAGACCAAGGCCTAGTATTGTCTACATGGTTATACAACTATAAAGCATGGGTATTTTGACAAACATACCACCGGCGAATGGTACTTTGTATGACGTATTTTTGCTTACGTACTGGATACACGAAACACGTATTCAAATTTTTGGCATACTCAGATGTACCTAGTATATATCCAAGTTATACCGTACCTCTGTCGAAGCACTATTTTCTTCTACTAAAGAGATAAAATTTCATTCTCTAGACTCTTTTTTTTTAATTTTATGCTTAGCATGATTATAAAATGAGGAACTTACGTGTAAATCCTACTAAATGGACTATTGTCCAATGGGTCATATAATAATTAATAGCATTTTTCATCATATACTATTAAAAAAGTCACTAATTGTTAATTTTCAGCAATAGATTGAAAATTGTCACAAAAAATGTCACTAATTATAAGTTTTAGTGACAGTTTAAAAAAAAACATCACTAATTTTCAACTTTCAATGACTGTTTGAAAAATTCGTCACAAAAAAAAGTCACTAATTGTAAGTTTTAGTGACAATTTATAAAAATCGTGACAAAAAAAAAGTCACTGGTTGTCAATTTTTAGCGACATATGTAAAAAAATCATCACAAAAAATTATTTTTAACGACGATTATACTAGGTCTTATTTTCAATAGGACTTGATGAGAATTAAGTCCAACTATTAGAACCTATTGGTAGTTTATACTCTTATAATAAAATTAAGCTGTGGTTTGTAAGTTATTTAATATAAAGACGTTTAATTTTGGTTTATACTTTTACTTTTGGCATTAAATGTTAATTGTAGGTTGAATCTTAACAAATTAAATCATTTAATCAATTATTGTATTACTCCAAATTAAAAATAAATATTTTTTACAAACGTACCAAGTCGTACCCGTACCCGTACCCGTACCCTACTTTTTTAGATTTTATCATATCGACAAACCCGCATCGTACTAGTACCCGTACCCGTGCTTTATAGTTATACAATATTGCATTTTCCTATTAGTGACCATAATTTCACATCCATTTTGTGTCACCAGCAACTATGCTCAAGTCATCACAAAGACAGAACATGGGTCAACATCTAAGAAGCACAGACAGACATGGGACATCACCAGAGTCCAACATTGAAACTTAACTTAGATAGTGACTCATCAAATCATAAGAAAATAGATACACAACAACAAATAAGAGTACTATTACATAGCAAATCACATAGTTTATGATTCACAAATCTAATATATTGTGGTCGTCACTTATATTGCCTTCTCCTTTAATAACTATCGTCTATGCAACTTAATGCTTAAGTATTTTTGTTCAAGTAAATCAGAGGAATTAATGACTATGATAATTGTCGTTGCCTTGCAGTCACTGGCGCGAAGGTTATGGAGAACATCGTTCAATACTTGCTGCACTCAGTTCTGTACAGGTTGATAAGAAAAACTAAGGAAACACATGCTTCTAGTATTTTTTTTTCATTTGATACTTGACACAGGTTTTAATCAAGTGTGACAAGCCATTGCAGCTTTGGAATCCAATTAGGAGTTGAGCATCCTGTTATACAACTTTGGAATGTCAGGGTCCCCAGTCTGCAAGTTCCAAGTGGTAATATCTTTCTTTATTTTGTTTTATTTTTTACTTGTGGACATTTGCAATCATAGCCTGGGGAGGGGGGGAACCTTGTCCATGGCAAGACATGAACACTTGACCTCCATGAGAGATTCAAGAATTTTGGTCAACTGAACTAGTCCTACTTGGTTATGTATACTTACTGAAAGTAGTCATATCAATCCACAGATAATAATCAATCATCTATCAATTTCATAATTGATTTGCTTCTAATTGGGCAATATGCGGATTTAGAGTGTCCTCACCCTTGTAATGGGATCGTTTAAGTTGTAATTGAACTTTCTAGTAGTGAATTATATTGATATTTAGGCCTTGTTTGGGTGTCCTAAAAAAGTCAAAAAGTCAAAAAATCATTATCCTATTTAAGTCACATCATCTTATTTAAGTCATATCACCTCTCTATCACATCACTTCAAACTCAACCCATACCCAACCCATATTTCATAAAAAGTCAAGAAGTGCACTATGATGATAGAGACAGATATAGCAGAATTTGTGTCTGGCACAGAAATGCAGATTACTACAATAACTTCTCTCTCCTCCCACACCCCACTCCTTATAGGTAATTTATCCTCCCCTTTTAAAATATGGTCAAATTGAAATTTTTTGTATAAACCTTTGACTTGATATTTCTTCATGTGATTAAAAATTTTCTCTAAACTAGATGAAATCGACGACACAACAAATAAGTTCTGCGAGTCACATATTGGCCAGTGTCAGGACATGTTGCCCAAGTGTCATAAATGATGAAGTTTAATTTTTGAATAAAGAACAGCTTTAAAATGTGTCCTACACAACTCCGGAAGTGTGCAAAGTATTGGCATTTGACACAAACACAAATCCTTGTTAAAAATTGTCGTGCCTGTCTTGTGACTATTTTATTGTTCAAATGTATATTGACCTTCACTCTATGGAAAATTAATTTTTAAAATATATATATATATATATATGTAACAAATGAGCTTGCAGTTCAAATGTCAAAAATCGAAAAAGAATTAGACAAAGATGGCATACTTAAAAAGGCCTTTCAAGCATGGAGACACAAACAAGATATTCATATTAAAGATCAGTAGGTTACATAAAATGTGAAAAATACTTGGTAACTAACCTTTTCAGAAAGATTACAAGCCTTCAATCTCAGAAGCCTGAAGAAATCATGGATTCTAACCTGTCCGCTGTGAGCAGGATTCAAACAGTGAGATAAACAATTCTTGCATCACCACCAACTTAAGCGCCATTGATATTAACACAAACTTAAATGCAATTAGACAAACTCAAGAGAGAAAAGAAAGCATTTCAGTGCTGCATGTTGCAACTAGGACAGAATTAAGCATATTTAGATACACATGGTCTACATCTTCAGTTTAGTGAAGCACTACAATATGTGATAATAGTCACAAATCACAACAATAAAAAAAAAGTGTCAAATTCAAAACCCAGCTGTTGGAAGAAAATTGAGCTCACATATTTTAAAATTATGCGTAAAAGAAAAAATAAAGAGAAAAGAAAAGCCTAATATGATAATGATTAATGAATTTCACTGCAAGAGCAGGATTATCCAGTGCAACTAATATACAACATACTGATGAGGGTAAAAATATATATTCACAGAAATACTCATGATCAACGTTAATTATAACCCTACCAAGGATTTGATATATCTGAGAAAAATGGGAAGAAGCAATAACATATGCTTTTAAATCAAATAATGGAATACCAAGAATAATTTGATAAGCCACCAAAAAATCCCTCATTTGCATCATTGGCATGTATATAGCGTTAGTTCAATGAAAATATACTTTTTAATAAACTCAAATAAAAATCACTTCTACAAGCAAAAGAAAGGAAAAAGAAACGGAACAAAAGAAACACATGAAATGAAGGCAGATAAAATGAAAAAAAAAAAAAAGCGGATCACTCATCCATGATTCAAATACCCTGTTCAATAATCTTATGCCACAGAATGAAGAAAAATTGATCACATTTAGGGACTTGCATGAAGTAGGTAAGGTGTCATGAAGTTCCAGATGAACAACTCAAGCAGTTTTGATCAGAAGTATATTATAAATAGTTCCTTACAGGAAAATGAAGCCATACAAGACAATTATTGTATTATAGAAATAGCACTAAAATTAAAATTTCTTGCCATGATACCTGGAATTTGGATTCATGGATAGAAATGTATCCTGAAAGTCCACAGCTTCTGAACTGCTTAAATCGAATGTCTGGCAAAGAAGAGATATAACCCAATTCATCTTCTTTGCAATTGACCAAATAATATAAAATTGAGAGTAATCCATTAATGATGAACTAGAATACTAAATAAAAAGAGAGAAATTTGGTTTAGAGAGGGATCAAGGTATTTAGAATAATTGATGGTAATCAAATTACTTGAATCTTCCTCTGCATTTAAAAAAAACAAAGATAATTTATTGCAAACCAACAGAGACAATAGGCACGCGCTATGTGCAGAATGCACCCCAATTAGAAAACCAATGGAAATAAGCTCTCTACAAAATCCATAAAACCAAAGTGTTACCACAAAACGCCAACACCCGAACGAATTAGATTTTGAAAGCATGTTTCGAAACATGGTACATTTTTGTTCCGAAACGGTAAATTTAATGATCTCAAAAGGTTTTCAAATATATTTCCTCGAAGGTTTTCTTACGCGGAAAATAAAATTTACTATTGAACTAAAACCTTAGGTGAGTAACGTTTTGAAAGGATAAAACGCCAAAAATGGGTCATAGACAAAAAATAAATAGGCAAGCTCGATAGAGTGCTCTTGACTATAGGAACACACAACATGCATTCTAGATATTACATGAGCACCCAAAAATTCTTCTTCAAAGGCATATGTAAATTACAAGTCTATAAAGCTTGTTTTCAATTTTTCATCATTTTAACCAAAAGATAC